ACAACGATGACAGGTAGAGCTGGGGGACAAAACTAAGCAGAACTATGAGGTGACAAAGCAGGACAAAGAGCTTCAAGAACAAAAGGAAAAATAAGATGTTAAAGCTAAAGTTAAAAAAAAAGGGAAATAAAATTGATGCTTTCATTTATTTTTTTTTGACCAGTGTTCCCTTCAGCATAAGAATACTGAATGGCTTCACAGAATAAACATGGACCAATATAATTACTGGTTATAATTACAGGTGCAAGGTAATATAATAAAAAGTTAACTTGTTTCAGTAATTCTGTTGAAAACATGCGACTTGCATAACTTAATTACAGTCAGAGTGATGCATCACTCTGACTGTAATTAAGCTTCCTTGGTAGATGGCTACTCTGACTTTGGACTTAATAAACTCAGTGGACCAACGTCAGCAGATGACATGACACCCCAAATCATTATCATTCCAAATTTACTTTCAACTAAAAAATTTTAAGACCACTGCGCAACACTCCAGTATTTTTTCCCCTTATCCCAGGTTAGACACTTCTTTCATGAATGTGGCTGCTGTGGCCCGAGTTTTGGACTCGTATGTTAATGGTGAATCTCGAAGCGCCGACTTTACCTCTAATTCCGGGCTTGTGACTCTTCCCCAATCTGCTGAATGGAGTTCGACAATCCTCTCAAATAATGCAGTTATCATTATATCCCTTTGTACCTCATCTGTCCTTCCACTAAACTTTCCATGCATATGCTTGTTTACAGCCCTCTATGAACTGCCAGCTTCTTGAGCAATAATGCTTTGTGGCCAGACTCTTGGGAAGGATAACAGTGACTCTCTGCTTGACAACTTTTCAGCCCGCAGTCTTCCCCATGATTATGCAGGCCATTCAAAAGTATTTCTGTCTTAAAACTGCTTTTGTTGTTGGTCTAATGAAATGTTCTCATTTTTTTAAGAAACTGAACAGTAAGATTTTCAGAAACTATAAGAAATAGTTATTCAAAAGAATGGTAATAAACCAGGGATACACAATATATCAGTATTGGCAGATAGTCCTTTTTTTAACATATTGGCATATATATATATATATATATATATATGTATATATATATATATATATATATATATATATATATATATATATATATATATATATATATATATATATATACACACACACACACACACACACACACATATATATATATGTGTGTATATCCACAAAACGACTCCTAAAAGTGATATTTTTAAATCATATCAACATTTTAAATATATCACTCTGCTTCTAATATACATGCTTCACTTTTTTACCCAAATTCCAGAGGTAACTAATAAATTAAAACTACAAAAAGATAATCTTGATTTTTTTTTTTTTTTTTTTTTTTTAGATAAAGAGGCAGGATTGTGTTAAAGAAATTCTACATCAAATCCTGTTTTCAACCCATACTGTGTGCCAAGGCTTTCTTTGGTGTTGGTGTGTGTGTGTTGTTGTGTGTGTGTGTGTGTGTGTGTGTGTGTGTGTGTGTGTGTGTGTGTGTGTGTGTGTGTGTGTGTGGTGTGTGTGTGGTGTGTGTGTGTGTGTGTGTGTGTGTGTGTGTGTGTGTGGGGAGTGGGGTCTTTTAGGTTTTACTCATGCAGTCTTGTCTACATTTGCAATGTGCCATTTCCTGGACACAGACAGATAAGCTGGGAAGCAGCACTAAAACAATACCTCAGCTGCAGGCCGTCGCTCCTGACTACACAGAGGCTGACTGGTGAAAAGCAATGATTCACAGAAACGAACATGTGAATGAGTCATCAGCTTTTCAGATGACCACCTCGGAGGCTGTTTGGCTGAAAAAGATTTGACTTCATTCAGCGCCGCTCGGCTCTTTCACCGTCCTCTTGTATCTCTCTCTGTCTGTCTCACACACAGACGCACACAAACACCAGCGCGCACATAAATCTCTCACAATTCACCGAGCAGATTTGTCCTGCTGAGAGATGTGTAATGGAAAAGATAAATGGAGGATAAAGCTAAGGTGACAGGCCTGAGTTCATGCGCGCTTGTGTATTTGCATGTGTGTTTGTGCGAGCCCTGTGTGCGCCACACACAACAGACCAGCAAACCATCTGCTCATCTCCCCTTAATGAACAAAGCAAACAGCAGGAGTCAAGGCTGTCTCCAAATCTGGAGTCTCTTTATTGGTAAGCACACACACACACACACACACACACACACACACATCTCCGCATTGTTTAATCTGATTATCTTTGATTGAGAACAGGGGCGAAGCAACCTTTTTAAACCTCACTCCCACATCAGTGACAGAGAAGGTCTGAAACACAATTAGCAAGCTGTTACTGAGCTCTGCTTTGCAGTCACATCTGACCACAGGCAGCCAAATAGACCTAATGGGTGGGAACTAACCAATGGGAACTAATTTAACTGCATCTGCAGGATGATGGGGAAAGGCAACACTGTTAGACAGCTGTTCACCACATTTTTTCAAATGTACTTGGAGAAAACATACGCGCTGGATCAAATGGCTGAGGGAGCGAGCGCAGCCTGGCAAAGGGGAACACACACTGATGTGAATAAAACCGGCAGCCAGTGAACTTAAAGACAAAGCAGGCTCTCTGCAGAGGAAGTCTGGCCCTTGACGAGATACGACACTGTGCACATTAGGCCAGAGGACCAGAAGAAAAAGTAATTAATCTGGACTTTTTGTTGCCACATCCTGCTTAAGACCCTAAGGACAATTAACACTGTTACCCCCTCTGTCACACAGTGAATCACATGACTTCAAGACATAAAACATTTCCTGCGCTGCTGGCCAAACAGTTATAAATACAATACGCAAATGGCCGTCAACGACAACGTGGCTAAAGATGAAACATGATTACATCTGGGCTTCAGGGCATTGGAATACCCTGATATGGGTTAAATGATAATAGCAGGGTGGCATCATGGGTAAAATGAGCTTTCAACAGGAGAACGATCTGGACACATGATCTGCCCTGATAAAATGCTTATGAACCTTACACTAAATTCTATCTAAGAGAAGGGAGCGCATCGCTAGACGAGTGGAGCTTTCAGCCAGGGGGTTGGAGGACTGATAATAGAGACTGAAAGAAAAAAAAATGCTACATGTATGAAGGTTTCCTTTATAACCTCTGTGTGAGTTTAACAAAATATAATTGGCAGGACATTACTACATAAAAAATAAGAAACATAAAACATTGTATTGATCATATTTAAAAAAAGAAAAAACTGGATTTGTTCCATTCGCTTTTGGTATGTTGTGTTGATATCTTTGTTTTTGAAACAAATAGGGTCGTATTTTGATTGTTTCATATTTCCATGTGTATGATTTTGATAATAAAAAGAAATTTAGAAAAAGTTATACAATATCTAGCTGCTTAATATAAATAAAAAAGCAGCAATTACTGTTACGGCTGTTTGACTAACCACACAGATAATCAAGAGTCATCGATTTTTTTGTTGTTGTTGTTCTTACGGTTACACTTAACACACTTGTTTAAGGTGTCATAAAAGAAACACACTATGAAACACAAACTTAATTGCAGGCAGACCTCAGCTGTTTTAATGTGGAACATGATGTTGGATGAATGGGAAGCATCAAATGATGTTAAGTGTACTCATCTGCGAGGGAGGTAGTTTGCATGTGTGCGCATTATGACAATCAGGCTAATGGGTGTCTGTAAAAAATGTAATGACTCAGATTTTAATGCAAAACTTCAGAAACAGAACGGCATAAAAACCTAGTAGATGTAGTTGTCATTTTTAGTGCTTATTGCGCAGAATATTACACCGTGTTTGTGGTTCTGCTCCTTCTAAAGCAAATTGATCTTAGATGGCTTTTGTTCAACTTTCTTCTTTTTTTTTTGCAGTCTGCTGCTTAACAGGTATGGCGCTCGTTGCTTGACAATTTTAAAAAGGAATTACCTTAGCAGGAGCAAATGGTGGATTTTATACAACTACTGTTCTTGTTTTTCTCAACTGGAATAAAGTTGGTACGAGCTTTCTCATAAGCAGTTGAACTGAAATGAGTGAATTGAAATGTGTGGTAACTTGCTTTTGATCAGCACTGCACAGCAATGTGTGGAGGAGGGGAACCCGTGCATAACCCTAATGTCACTCTGTCACGTTCTTCAGCATCTATAAAAAGAAACAACTTTAAATGACTTGTGAACACATATTTTTGCAATCAAATAGAAAAAAATAGCCCAATTGAAACATATAAATATGTCTAGAAAGACACTGTCTAGAAAGACACATTTTTTTCATTGTCACTGTGCCAGTTGCTGTTTTGTGTCATAATTTTATATTGCTAAGTGCCAGAAAAATAACAGAGTCAGATAGAGAGAGATTGAGAATAGTCATCTGTTAGGATAATTATGTAAAAAAGTATGGGTATATATGCCCCCATCATATTGTCACACTTTGGGAACTTTTGTGGGATTCTATATATCCTGATGCTGCTGTTACACCTGAATTTCTCCACCGTAGGACAATAAAAGTTGTTTTTATTATTATTTTTATTATTATTATATTCTATTTATTGCCGTTTTATACATGAAAGGGTTCAGTGGATATGAAGACATTTACAATACATGGTAGCTCAATGATAAACAAATGATTTGTCCAAGGTCTAGCCTGCCTCTTGCCTATCTACTGTTGGATATAACAGCTACAACAGTCCTAGACGAGATCTGGCAGGCATTAAAAACTGGTAAATTATTGGATTAGAAAAATGATCTGCTTCTTTACTTGTGAAAAACCTTTTTAAAAACAATAAATAAACCAGTAAGTAAAAGTAAGGTTATAATAAAAACATGCTTTAATTAGATTTGATGGCTTATTATTATTCAACGTAACGTGCCGACTGAAGAAAGTTGAAAGGTCAAGTTTGTAAAAAGTTGAATCACAACATGGTACAGCAGCGCCCTCTGCCGCTCAACGACCGTCATTCAATCGAACTTTCCGAAGAATGCCATTTTTTCCCTTCTACGGCTTCCGTAGTAAATTCCTTCCTCCTCTCTCCTTTTCCTTATTTTGGCAACATGGATCCACGTAACAACTTTATTGCGCTGTTTAGGAGTTAATTCCGCTTTGTCTGGGAGTTATCGACCTTTCTCCGGGTTCCTTCCCTCCTCTGGACACCATGTTTACCAGCACCGGCTCTCGGGGTCTGTGTAAGTGTCGCCCCTCCTGAGCCCTGTCACCGCCTCATAGTTTAAAGCTAACTGGTGTTAGCATGCCGTTGTCATTCATTTGCTCCATGCTGTTATCTGTCAGCTGACAGATTTGTGTTTTTATCAAACGTCACACGTCTCGCTTATTCAAACAGCCCGTCTATTTAGAGGAAGTGTTTTTGTTTAAATGAGTGTTTAGGTAAACTAGTGGGCGGATTTGATCGTAAACTCTTGTTTTGTTTGTTTGTGTGTGTGTTTTTCTCCAGACAAGGCTCCTCTGTGTAAAGGCCTCCTGCTGGTTCTCAATGGACTGACTGTGATGCTCATCCTGCTGCCACAGTACCAGGACATGTTCGTGTACAGCCTGCAGGCTGTTGCACATCAGCACCAGGCATGTCTGACATCCAGAGGCCAGATGTTCAATTTTCACCCATTATTTACATCCCTTCCTCTGTCTTTTGTCTTCTTTCAACAGCTGAGAAAACATTAGCTAGTTGAATCACCAGGCTTTCCAGCAGGTGGCTATCGCTGCCTACCTGTGAGGGTTATATTCTAATCTTGAGTTGTTATAGATGTATAGTTTTCAGCATGTACATTTAAGAATACCCCTTTTTAAAAAAAAAAAAAAAAATACAATAAAATAAAAGTAGCTAGATCATGTTTTAAAGTTTTGTGCAAATAAAGTTTGTCCTAACGCAAAAATCGCACACTTGGTAACTTGAAAATAAGAGCATCGCCAAAAAGGTTTGAGTAAACACAGGAAGGGTGTGATACTTTTTAGATCTTTGGAAGTATCCAGTGTAGGCCACATAATGACCTCTGAGCATGAAATGCACTTGAATGATGTAAATATGCTTTTTATTTGATATCAAATGTTCATTGGGCGTTGAAGAAAAAAGTTGGTGATGTGTACGTGGATGTGAGGACACAGCTCTGCTCCTCTGTGTGCTGCAGGTGTGGAGGCTGCTGTGCGGCAGATTGATCTGTCTGGACGTGAAGGACTCCTTCTGCAGCAGCCTGCTGATTTACAACTTTCGAATCTTTGAGAGGAGGTTTGGCACCAGGAAGTTTGCTGTAAGTATTAATAGTAGGCCTGAATATTGCCTGTAGTGGCAGCTGTGGACCGTTCACAGGGTGCCAACTTGAAGAGAGATTTTATCATCCCATGTAAATTCAGAATTTGAGTTGGCAACTTCATAGACTTTCTGTTGTTGTAAGACATTCGGAGAATATACTCTAGGTCATTGTGTTGCTGCATAACCCACGTGTACTCAGGCTTAAGGTCACCAACTAGGTCCTAAGGCAAAGTAGCTACAGACCATCACTCTATCACCAGCATGTCTTTTGCTGATATTATGTTTTTTCTGAAATTCTGTGTTAGTTTTAGGCTCGCTCTCCAAACAGTTTCTGTTTTGTGCAGTCAGTCCAAAAAGGATTTTCCGACCCCGCTCCCCAAAAAGCTTTGGGGATTATTAAGACGTTTTTGTTGCAAATGAGAGACAGGCCTGTTTGTTCAGTCTTTGGGCAGCAGTTGGGTTTGGGTTAGGAACTTTTCCATTGATGTGATTTCTGCCCATTCTCTCTCTTGAAATGGAATCATGAACACTGATACGACGTGTTGCTATTTCAGTTCTTGTCGCCTACTTTGTTGTCTGACTGGTCATATTTGGAGGATTTCTTGATTTGGGAGTATTCAGGCTTATGTTTGGTTAGTCAGAGTTAATTATATTCTGCATGTTGCCAGATTACATGGCTTCTTTCATTAAACAACAAAAAAAAAATCCTCATATGAAAATAGTTTTTTGTATTTGCTCAGATTATCTTAGTTTGATATTAAAATGTATTTAATGGTCTGAAACATTCAAATATGACAGAACAGAAAACCTGTGGATATTCACAGCACTTTTCCATTTTTATTTATTTATTATAATGACAGAATTAACTGAAAAAGCAGAACATTTACATTCTAATCATGAAGGAAGCGTATCTGATTACCATCCAGTCTGTCATTAACGACTTTCAAAGGAAGAGAACATTTTCACTTCCACATAGTGTCGCCTATTTTAGCATACCTCTTTGTGCAGCGTTGTTATTCTGATTATCATAAATGTTTTTTATTGTACCTCCAGTCCTTCCTGCTGGGCACTTGGGTTCTCTCTGCCCTAGTGGACTTCCTTCTGGCCCATGCCTTCCAGTTCCTGTTCGAATATGAAGTGGAGGAACTACCAGCCGGACTGTGAGTAGAGGGCTGGTCAACTAAATATTTCAGTTTGTTCATTTTGTTGTTAGGAGTTTTGGAGGTCTGCTTAAACATGTTCATATTTAGAAGCTGTATGTTTTAGGAATATTTAATAAATGTCTTTATATTCTGTTAAACATAAGATGAGAATTCTTTCTTTGTAACAAGTAATAATTAAACCAAATCTATGTCAACACCAAATTTAGGGTTCTTTGACAGACTTTTGAATGATTAAGCATTATTTGGTAAAATTATTACATTAGGTTCAGTCCTTCTTGAATCGTCTTAAGTCTTTGTTGTTTCCATCCACAGGCTCGCTCCAGTCTTCTCTCTGTTTGTGCCTTTCTACCAGTCGATCCCCAGAATGCCAGTCACTCAGGTCCTGGGACACATCCACATCACCAACAAGACTCTTGTTTACATTGTCGGCCTGCAGGTGAGCCTTTACATGAATAATTTACTTGTCCTGTGGTGAAATTCTTGAAAACTACACGTTTCCAGTCAGCAGAACTTTTTAAATTTCTTTGTAATATTTCTCTTTGAAATGTTCTCTGTTGCAGCTGCTGACTTCCAGCCCCTTCATGTGGCTCCTTGCACTCAGTGGACTGGTTAGTGATGGTTCTGTTCTTTACTATGGCTTTAAGATGAGATGAAAGGGATTGCGAGGCAGTATTCTCAGAAGTGTTTTAGGTCTTAACGCCTCTCTTTCAGATGAAAGAAGCCAGAAGGTCTCAAAATTTCTTCATGTTTTTGTCATGTTTAAGTAGAAAAAAAAAGGAAGCTTTTCCATCAGAGGGTTGCATTAAGCCAAGTAATCTTTCTTATTGCAACAGTTTTCAGTCTGTGTGCATCGTTTCATTGCAAAACTGATATTGTCCCATTTTGCAACATACTTTTTGTTTTTTCATGACCTCTTAGCCCATGTAAGGATGATAAAATTCCTGAGACAGTTGCATTGACTTTTTTTTCAGATCTCAGGAGGATTGTACCACTCCAATGCTCTCTGGTTGCAGAAGGTCGTCTTTGTCCCTGTTTGGGTATCTTCGGTTGGAAAGTATATTCTGGAGCCGCTCTTCTCCAGTGAGTCCAATCACTAATGATTAGGATATTAAACCATTCCTTACGAGTTTGTTACAAGAAGTGTTCTAAAACCAAAAAATCATAGAGAAATGGTAGCAACATTATTAGGTAACAACCTCTTTTTTTTTTTTTTGTTTCACCATAATTTATGCAGGTATGTTTCACAGGACTTCAATTTCAAGAGAGACCTATTTCAAAACTAGAACAGAAAGTAACAATGTTGTCAAAACAGGAAATAATCAGTGTTATGCCAATACAATGTGTGGACCATAGTACACAACCTTGTGGGACACCTTTTGAGCCCCCTGCTTATGTTTGGAAAGATAATTTGATAAATTGCAGATGGTTCAGTGTAAAAAGTTTGTATCCAAAGATCGTGGTACATGCTATAATGTCAAGAAATTGGCTGACATTGTTGGAGTCCAACATGAGAAAACAGCTAAAAAATATGGGGATCCTTTTCAACACCATCATAAAATCTGCTGATGACCATTGTGGATCTTATTTGGGTCTATTGTAATGCATCTCAGATTAGTTGCTACTTGATCACTTGAGTTCTGGCTATATATAAAGTAAAATGGTCCCAAAATGTTTAGCTTTAGTTATTACTCCATTGTAATTTTATAATATATATTTTTTGTTGCACTTGAAAGATATAATGTCATTTGTTTCTTGAGGTTCTGTTTTTCTGATCATTTGTCATATTTACGATTCAGCATGACGGTCCATTTAGAAACAACAAGAAAGCTTTTGCAAATTATTAAAGTTATAGTAAAGTGTTGTTTCAAAATATAAACAACAAAGCAGCTCTGCGTTTCACTCTCATAACTTTCCCGCTTTGCTCTCAGCAAAATGTGTTGTTCACGTTTGTGCTTCTCTAGGTTCCCAGCCCAACGATGAGACGCCTCTGGGGATGGGAGCCACTCTGGACATCCAGAGGCAGCAGAGAATGGATCTGCTCGACCAGCAGCTGCTACTGGCCCAGTACAACGAGGCCCGGAGGAATGTCAGGCGTCAGCCACAGGTAGACTCACTCACACATACACACACACACACACCGGAGGTCCTCAGATCCACACACAAGGCTTTGTCTTTATGTTTATCATTTATATTCTGGTGCCATAAATCTCTATAGCTGTTTCTGTTGCTTGAATCTTGAAAATCCCTTTGTATACGTTTTAATAAAAAGGTTATAAAAACACGTAAATTTATAAGTTTCTTAGCTTTGCACAGAGTTGAGTAGTAACTAATTATATTTAGTCAATTACATTTACTAGGGTAACATTTTTGAAAAAAATGACTTATGAGTATTTTCACTATGCTGTACTTTTTACTTTTACTTGAATAACTTTATTATGAAGTATATTCACTCTTACATGAGTAAAATTTGTGTATTCTTTACCCACTGCGAGTAGCTTCACTGAAGAAAGAACAAACATGTTTTAATCAAAAATTCACCAGACAGACACACACCTGCATTTTGTGTTAAAATTTCAATTTATTTTTTTTTTTTTTACTGAAAGAAGCTGATTTAGAAAATAAAATGTTTGCCTTCTTTTTCTATTTATTTTACTACTTTTATGAATTTTTTGTCAATTTTTTCTCCCCTTAAAATACCAAAATTTCCACCTAACATTAGATTTTGGTCCATCTGATTATGTCAGGGTGGATTGCTGCAGTGGACTAGGTTATTTCCCTCTCTGAGACACAGAGGACAGAACAGACCTCCAGTCCAACCCCATCCTGAGGCCCAGACACACCAGTCCACACAGCCTCCATTACTGGAAAACTCTCCTGTTGCAGAGGAACAGGTAGCACAGGAGAAACCCCATGTCCTGCCTGATCTGTGTCAAAATGACTGCCGCTCTAACTGTGCAACTTTCCACAGGTTGCCCGGTTAGTGGAAATGGGCTTTTCCAGAATCGACGCCCTCGAGGCCCTCAGAGCTTCAAATAACGACATTAACATGGCGACCAACTTCCTCCTGCAGCACTGAGGAGAAAGAACCGGGGGCAACAAAAGAAAGTAAAAAAAAAAAGAGAAGAGGAATAAAGACAGCACATGAAGCAAAAGTAAATGGGAAAGAGAGAAAAGCTGCTGCTCCGAACCAAAGACTGGCAATGCTGGAGAATTGGAGAGAAGTCAAAAGAATATTTTAAGAGATGAATTGCAGGCAGCGCCTGTGCTCCCTGAAGCAGGGTTGAGCAGAGGTTACCCGAACTGAGGCCGACCGCAAATTGGTTCATAGAGAAGTGTGAAGCACAAGGTGAAAAGTGGCATTGCTCTCTTACGGTCGCTATAGAGTAAAACTGAAGGCTCTTAACATAATCTGAGCTCTAACTGCAACAAATAGGCTGTCAACAACGTAAGACATGAAGAAGATTTTAGCTCTCTACAGACATTTACCTAGAAAATATCAGCTCTATGACAGCCTGGAGACTGACCCTTCATATGGACACCATGTTAAAGCTGCATATAAACAATTTTATTTATCCTGATGCCACACAGTGCCGCTTTTCAAAATGGCTACATTGTGACTTAAAATTTAAATTTGTTCCTTACGCAAGTTCAAAATGATAGGGGGACCCACTTCGCCAGGATTTCACCACACTGGTATTTGTTGGCAGAGACGTAGCAGAGCTGAGCTTTTTCCTGATTTAGAAGCAGTTAGCTTGACTCGCACTTAACTTACTGAGCCACACTTCTTCAAGCTGACTGGTTTGGCTCAGTTTTGTTGTCATGACGCTGGTTAGACGGGCTTTGTCCGGGTCGGCGAGGCCGCTTCTTCAATCCAACAACATCGTAGTGGGCGGCGCAGATGCAGAGCAGCCCGTTTCGGCTTTATTTATTTCGTCTTAAAGTGAGTTGTTTCCCCCCCACCTCTGTTGGCACTCTGGTTTTGAGTCATCAGTCTTAAGGGTCTGTTGGTATTTATTATGCAATTCCATAACGAGAAATGTATGGAAACTTTGCACTGCATAGTACCTGCTCTGTGTATTTGAACATGGATGCAAAAAGATGTAATATTGCAGCCACTGTGTATTGATGTCAAAGACAGATGCTGATTTTATATTTTGTGCATAATGTTGATTATACATACATAAATATATATGACCAGTGAACCGAATCTTTGGTGTTTGTGCCCTTTTTGAGAGCGATACTGTAATAAATGGCAGCGATGGACAACGTTATGTTGTGCTGTAATGATTCACATTTGATCTGTGAAATTTAAAAACAAACTGTTATGAATTTCTGTTCATCTCGTCTTTGATATTCACATACTTTTATGTTGCTTATAAATAATTTAGCCATTTCTAATCATAAAGTTAGAACTGCACCGCCATGATCTAAAAAAATTAGATGTACTCTTAAACAAATAATTTTTTTGCTATTTGAAGCTGAACTTCCAAGCCTCAATTTAAAAGAAAAACACTGGGGTAATATTTAATGTTTTGAATTCTGTTTCTTTCTTGTAGGAATCACTAATGTTGAGTTGTCAAATAAATGAGCGTTTTGTTACGCATGGGCTTTCTAAACTAATTTCTTTCAACTCTGAAACCTGGCCACCACTCCCTCCTGCTGGTTATTTTTAGGTGTTGCAGTACTACTTTTAAACACACGGTGGCACTCGTTTAATCAAATAAAAAAAAGACTGACTCCTGTTAAACCTTTAACCTGAGGATACACAACTGTACATTTTGCCACCTATCTGAATGATGTGATTGTTGTCTTCTGCTGCTAGAATTTTATTTGGTTTCTAATAATAATAATAATAGTAGTTATTATTATGATTTAAAAAGTTGTGAAAAAGCGCCCATTTTCTTTGATAAGAAAGTCGAGCATCAAATTTGGGTTTTCACTTTGAAGAAATCATCTCAAGAACACAAATCAAACAGCAGCAATTAAACACTGAGGTACACTTTGATGAATTTGGGAAATTGTGACTATGAATTAAGAAAAAACAAAACAAAACAAAAAAAGTACCCAGGAAATGCGAGGCTGTGCTTTGTCGCTAGATGGCGACAGGGAGGCGGATCTGAGGCGGCCTTGTTGGGTCACAGTGCCCTGCCACACCCACAGACAGCTCCAGCAGACAGACACGCTTCAGGGTGGATACATTTCAGCTCAGGAGATTTATGCACATCATCACATCAGAGTTTTTAAATCTTACGACACCCCTGATATTTTCCGAAAGCGCACGGGGAAAGTCTTTTACATTATGTATGTATTGTTTGCTCTTTGGAAAATATTTTCCAAAGAGCAAACAGAGCTCAGGATCTCAGATTTTAACGGCTGCTGGGCTGGAAAACAGCTTAATCATCTAGTAATCATGCAGCTCTGAGTGCTGCTGCTTTTCTATGTTTTTACAACCATCCTCTGTTTTTTTTCAGAATGTTTCTTTATAATCTTACACTCTTTATCAATTATAATATAAATGAGTCCAAGGACAAGTTTTTACACAAGTCACGTATATTCCTAAGCAGAAGAAAGCAAAAATATTTTCCAAATTTGAATCTTTTATTATTTTTTTTTATGTAATCCCAAATCTTTCTGGAATTTATTGTATTTCATAGAGAATCTGAGGAGCAAACGATGTGGTGATGATATGTGGTGTTCAGCAGCGTTTTCCCTCTTTGTCTGACAGAAAAGCCATTATCATTTATTGTACACCCAGCCAAAGCCTGGGAAAACATCAGCACTTTTTGAGAGTTATTTGTCACTCCAGGTTATTCGCCTGTGACTCTATTAGCCAAGGCCTACTGTACTACATTATGATTCGCTGCTCTGAAGAAAAAGCGCCTCAGTCGATGTCACATGAAGAGAGGGGGTTTTGCTGCTTATGTGGATTTAATTTGCTCTATAGTCATACAGTTGAAACCAGATATGTATATGCGCCAAATATTTTCATTTTCTCTTGTTTTTGGTCAGTTAGAATTATATAAATTATTTCTATTTGCTTAATGCCAGTGAACTGAGAGGGATTTTTTATTATTTCTTTTTTCTTGTTTTTTTTTTTTCTTTTGTAACTTTCTTCAAATTCAGAAGCTCACATAGATTTGGTCAGTATCTGGGATAGTTTGCTGGAGTTCTGGCTCATTCCTCCTGACAGAACAAGTGGAACCGGGTCAGATTTGTAGGCCGCCTGCTCCGCACACGCCTTCTCACAAATTCTCCACAGGATTGAAATTGGGGATCAGTGACAGCCATGCCTAACTGAAGCCACTTCGAAACCGCTTTGACTGTATTTGTAGGGTTATGACCGTTACGCAGGAAAGCTTTTACTAGCTTCAATGTTCTTTTCTCATGATGCCACCGATTCAATGAACTGCACCGGCTGTTTTTCCTCCAAATGTAATTATAGCCAAACAGTTCTACTTCAGTTTCATCCAAAATCTCCTAAATCAATCGTCTTTGTTGCTGTGTGCATCTGCCCACTGAAATCCGGCTTTTCGTGTTTCTTTTGACACAAAGTCTTCTTCCTCTATGACTGGCCCTTCAGCCCATGTCGACACAAGACGTGTTCCACTGTGGATAATGAGACCGTCTCAACGGCTTGAGCCAACATCTTGACATGGTGTTTGGATTCTGTTCTGGGGTCTATCGGCACATTTCAGAACCAAAGGACGTTCGTCGTTGGGACACAGAACCCGTCTCCTCCTTCAGGATTGTGATGGTCGGACAGTCCCATCATGTCTATGCTTGCACATAATTGTTGGAGTAGATTAAGGCGGCACCTACAAGCGTCAGTAAATTGTTACCAAGGAGGAACCAGGCGTGTGCAGCTACACAATTCTCTTCCTGTCATCTTGGCTGATTTCTTTTGACCTTCCAAACATGAGAGGCACACCTGCGGGTAAACTGAAACATACCCGCAGGTGTGCCTCCAATTAACTCAAATGCATCATTTTCATGTGACCGATTCGTTGTTCGAACTGATAGAAGCACCAGTATAACAGTTGTATTTTTTTTGTTTTAGTTTTACTTTTTATACATTGCTGGATTTTCCATGTAGGTTTAGTTAGGCTTAGCCAGAAACCTGAACCTGATCTGAGTCTACAGGGGATGCAGGAGCTCAAAAGCTGGAGAAAAAAAAAATCAACATTAGGAGGTGGAATCTGATCTGGCTCAATGTGGAGCAGAAAAGCCAAACAGTGAGGTATACCAAAGATGTCTTCCTTGAGTTAATGCAGTGAACCAGGTTTCTCGTGTGAAAAACGGTGCCATTACCTGTACCTACGTCTCATAACCCACTGAGGGTTAGTGAGTGTTGCCACTGTCTGTCACGCTCGCGAGACTAAACCTTCAAAAACAAACCCGCATTCAAAATCTTCCATCACATAAAAGTTTATGAGCTGGAAAAAAAGAAAAAAGTAGATCAAGGTTCACACTTCCTCTTGGGAGGCTTGATTAGAAAAGCGTGTTGTTGAAAAATCTGGCTGTTTATGTAAGAACAGCAAATGAAAGTCCAGTTTGCGCTTTGCAACAAGCCAAGCAGGAGATTCAGTAAGCGCGTGGAGGAAGGTGCTGTGATCCATTGCGAGGCTGACTGGACCTTTTGACCTGATCTCCGCCATGAAAACTGATAGTGGCAGAGTCATGCTGAGGGGATGCGTTTGTTCAGAGGGTTGATAAACGAAAGAAAACCTGTGGATATTGCTGCACGGTGCTCCATCTCGTCGCGTGGCAAACGGCCTGTTTGGCGTCTCATCGCAGATTCAATGTCTCCTGCACAGAGGACATGTGGATCCAGATTTCAGCAGCTGCTCCTGGAGTCCCCGGCCTCTGACGGCTTCACCTCTCCCTCTGTCTCTCCTGTCTCGCTCGCTTGTCTTCATTTTGAAGACGAGTGAAAAATTAGATGAACACTAAGAACCCAAGGCTGTTTTCCTCGCCGTCATTAGAACAGCATTGCCCTCGCTTAAATAATCAGCCTTCACTGAGAAAATGAGTTTTCCTGTTTACATGGCCGCGGCTGGTGGTGAGCACGTCTCACCCCGCAGTCATCATCAGCTCCAGCGCCATGTCATCCCCCCCCCACCCCCCCACTTCACCGGCTCTGTTGCCATGGTGAGCGCATGTGGTTTTTGTGTGGTTGCCATGGGGACCTTGTATCACAGCCTGCCTCCTGCTCTCATCGTGTTTCTGCACGATCATTTGTATGCCTGCTGTACGCATGCAGATGCTTAAGAAACATCAGAGATCCGCCCTGCGGGGCCGCCTTTCTCTGGAAACACGCTTCGTTTATTCCTGTCGCTTTTTTCTTTCTTTTTTTTTTTTTTTTTTTCCAGCGCGTGGAAAAATACCAAAACAGCTGAACGGCGTCTCTCTCTTTCTCACTGTGACTTTGCACGATTTATTTTTATTTCTTTTGCATTTAGTGGGGGAAAGAGAGGGGGGTGGAGGGGAAGATGACATCAAATGAATGTGTGTCGTTTGCAACAATAATGTTCTTATTTCTGCGCACAGAGTTCACAGCCTGGAAGGCAGGAGCGCCAGATGCCTCCCACTGACACTCAGAAAAATATGCGAGCTTGTGCACTTTGAGATAATGGCGCCATGTGTTTGCCTGGTTCGCTCTCACAATTGCTTCCAAACAGCTGCAGACAGAAATCTTTCCCACTATGCGTTGCGCGCTCCAAGATTTGCCAATGCGTTTGCACGCTGTGGGAGGAGGTCGAGGTTACTGGATCAGAACTTCCGAGGCCGTGCAGCTGCCATGTGTTTTCTTTCACTCGTTTTATTTATTCGTTCATTCATTTGTTTCGTGAAACTTCTCAGTTACTGGAGCGCAGCGCTGCGTATGCATGGCCTGCATGGCCTGCAGGCCAGCCAGAGGTCTGGCGTTTCATTTCCGTTGTGCGCCGCTCGTGACCTGTTTAGTCTGAGCTCGCGCGTGTCACATCCAAAGGGAAGCGATTTTCTCCAATCATCAGGGTCTGGCTGAGTTCACCGCTATATGACATGTAGGCTTGCAAAAGCTGCAAATCACGGATGTCTCCCAAAATCCGCACGCACGCATGCGTAGTGTTTGATCACAGGAAACGTTTGGATTTTACTGATTGAATAGTTTTGTTTTTATGATATGGTCAGTATTTTTGATATTAGGACTCCAATATATATGGGAGTAAGTAGGTGCCATCAGGATTTGAATTAAATATGTCTCTGAAATTCGACTCTTGTATGTTTAATGGTTTTCAGTGTTACAATATGAAAAAGTAAGTACAAATATACAACATTGAAATTTCAGAGGCATTTGCAACTCAAATCCTGACGGCACATATTTACTTCCATAAAAAAGTAAATATGTGAAAAAATAAATAATAATTATTTTTTCTGTGAATCTAACAAAAACAAGAAGATTTTGTATATTGCATAACACCGGAGGGAAAAAAAAAAAAAAAGATTCTTAGAATAGTAATATTAGCTTTGTGAGAAGTATTTTCAGTTTATGCATGCAATGCTTGGCTGGTGATCATTTTGTTGCTGAGGTGAGGAAGCCTGAGTTGTTCTTTGATGGA